GTCCCTCACTAGAGCTGTGTTTAAAGAGCACTGTTCAAAGTGAGCCCTCGCCAGCAGCTGGGACACAGCTCAAGGATGCCAACAGGAACGGTGGCCCCAGGGGACCCGATGGGTGCAGGGATGTGTCCGCATAGTGCCAGGGCACAGGGTGCAGGGGTAAGGGGGGTGACGAACAGTGTCATTTCTTTAACGCTTGTCCAGAGGATCTTCTGTGCAGAGTTAGGATTCGCACCTCCAAGGCAAAACAAGGTCAAGCACAGATTTGCAGCACTAATTTGCTCGGGTCTGTAAACGCGCTTATCGCAGCAGGCCAAGAAGTTGCTACTGAAAAGATTTTCTGCTGGAGCAGTTTCCCGAGAGAAACTCCGGTGTCTGCAGATGAAAACTTCCAGAGAAAAAGATCTTTTTTTCCCCAGTGTTTTTCAAATGAAAAACTTACTGAGCCATTTGATTTTAAGTCAATTTGGTCTGAATATGTTGGGCTCGAATCAAAAACTTCTAACAACGCAATAAAACACTGATCTGCAGTTTTCCATCAGTAGCATGTTTCCAGAGCAGGGAAGGGTGTGAATACAGCCCTTGACCACATCCACATCTCTGGACAGGCTCCCTATGAGGCTACTGATTCCCACCATGCAGTAAATGTTTTCTTCTGACAGGTTTTACATGTCGTTACAGGAGGTGTATGTCCCCTGCAGGGAATGGCACGTGGGCAGGGGGGAAATGGGGCCGAACTCCCACACTCCAAATTCTCTAGGGTGCAGAAACGTGGGTCCACACTGAATCAGCCCAAATCTTTTGCAGGTGGAGTCTGTTCAACTGACTTTAAACTGTTTCATTTGGATTTAAAATACTGAAATGAAACATATCCTAGATCAGGTTTGCACGCATTGGTAGTACTTTTTCACATACCAGTTGGCAAACAGAAAAATTACACAAGCTTCCAGGTATACACAGTGTTCCTCAGATTAAAAGGTACCATCTTCACTTCCAAAGTCCTGGTTTCCTTATGTGCTGGGACAATCACAGCTACCCCATAACACCACGAGGAACAAAACCACGAAGAACAGACAGCTCACTGGAGAACATTCCTCTATCTCTGCATTCTTTCCAACACCAACCTATATTTAGCCCTTCCCTTCCAGAAGGCCTCACCAGGATGAAAGCCACTTGCACTTGGACCTCCAAGCCTTGCAATTCACACACGGAAGAGCCTGTGAAATAAACACCCCTCCTGCTGTAACCTACACCAGGCTATAAAGATTACCATTTACTACCTGACTGTAAATAACCAGAATGCAGAGGACTTCAGCTCTGTGGAGTGATTTATTTACACGTGATTAGACAGGATGACTAGCAGAAGCTTTTTTATGACACTTTGGTTTCCCTGAAGTTCGCATTTTCTGTCTTGTTTAAAATAAATTAAGCACCTTACAGACATTGAAACATACTTTTATTTTGGATCATGTCGGATCCGAATGCAAAACCGCAACCTTATGGGTCAGAACATTACTCACAGACCTTTCGGGTGAGAAGGAGCAGCAACGGCAGCTCAATAGCAAAGAGCTGTTCCTACAGCAAACACAGAGTCAGGCCAGCCCCACGGGCTCCCTTTCAGCTCACAGCAGCACTAAATACATTACTGCTCATTGCAGATGGTTTGTGGGTAAGAAATAGCAGTACGAGAGCTTCCATCCACCTCCCCAGCTCCATCACGGCAGCGCAACAGACGTGTTTGCCAGATTACGGCGACAGAAGAGCTCAGATAACGACGACCACCAAACCCCCCTGCCCCATCGCTTCCACCCCGGAGAGGACCAGTCGGCAGAGCTGAGACAGCAAAAGGCTCCCAGCAGGGCAAAGCGCTGCAGGCAAGCCCAGGGATGGAGCACTTGCTGCAAAGAGCGGGACAGGAGATCAGGAGGGGGAGAGACCCCTCAGGGTGACACGGGACAAAAAGCCATGTCTACACAAGCATCCTTCCCCTACACATCCTTACACAAAGCCTTCTAGCTGCCACCAGCAGGTGCAGGTGTGGGCAGCAGGACAGACGCGTCTGCCAGCAGGACCCAGCCACAGGGCACTGCTGCGCCACATCGCTGGGACCCCGAGGGTGCCAGGGGTGGGCCAGCACCAGCACCCTGCCAGGGGTGCCCTCCCAAGCCTCCCATCACCCCAACTCCCAACAGCCTGAGCACGGCCCCGAAGCAGAGCCAGCCCCTCTCCGCAGGAAGCCATCCTTGCAGAAGGAAACCATGTCATTCCCACAGCTGGGAAGGAGGCTGAGCCTTGCACCGGGGGGAAAGGAGGTCACACAGCCAGGAGCATGGCACCCAGTGGACACCACGTCCATCAGGCAATGGGGAGAGCCATGCTGGGCTGGCCTGGAGACCCTTCCCACAGCCACATGCGCCGCTTCAACATGAGAGTGTCACTCCACTGCAACTGAATCCCAGATTTCATTTGACAGCAGGCCATGCCTTGAATCCACCCCACTGCAAAAATAACCTTAACACCACAGACATGCTCCCACCAGCCCAGCGAGGCATCCAAGCCCCCCACAATGCTTCTGTGTGCAGCCAGCCTGCAGGAACGCCTTTGAAGGGGACCATCCCTTCCCTCCCATGGGCTGCCAAGACTTAAAACCTCGTGGTGGCACCCTCACAACCCTGTAACTAAAGCTTTGTTCCTGAAAAGTGGATGCAAAGAAGAAAAGACAGATGACCTGAAGGTGACTCTCTTCCTCACTTCCCTGCAGGAAGAAGATGCTTGAATACTCCCAGGCTGGCTCCCATGACAGCATCCCATCATTTAAGAGCCCATCTCTGCTCGCCTGAGGTCTGCCTCCACTGAGGACAGTTCATTGAGCCACACACCCCCCGCACTGCAAAAGGGGGAGGTTTCTGTTCTCGTGCTTTAACCACCAGCCCATGTCCTTGCAGCCTGGTCACCCATTCCATGTGGCTCTCGGGGTTGTGACTTGCAAGTCACCGTTTCCCAGAAGAGCAGTCACAGGGAAGTCGGGAGGGCACCGTCCTGCCCTGGCTCGCTGCTGACTCACAGGCACATCCCCCTCTCTGCGCCTCAGCTTCCCCTTTTGAACCAAAATTGCCCATTGCTGGAGAGTCTGATGAGACTTCTGGCTGGAAGGGCACTCTCCCCTTAGCCTCGAAGCCGGCAGTTTCTGTCTGCGCTATGAACTCACAGCGCCCACAAAAAAGCCACCTTCTCCCTTCCCTGCAGCAAAGACCCAGCCAAACCACACAGCTGGAGAATCACCTCCCCACCTCCCCACAGGCAGGATCTCACATCAGGCTGAACTCCCCAGCTCAGGGCAGACCACCAGCCTCAAAGCGACCCCATGGGGTCCAGCAGGGATGAGGTGGGCTGGGGAATGTCCCCATCAGCACGGTGCTGCCTCTGAGCCACAGGCTGTGCCAAAGTCACCTAAAAGCCGTGCGCTGCCACAGTGCAGGGTGTGAGCAGCCACTCCTGGGTACGCGCGTGTGGCGGACCTGCCGGTCACCACGGGTCAGGAAGCTCCCACTCCACTTGCAACTTGCTCCAAAATACCCCGGGTGGACAGGAGGAACAAGAAGGGGGTTGCAGAATCCCCTAAGCGTGGCCAGTCCAGACCTACTGTCCTCTGTCAGGGCGCATGCATGTCGGAAAGCAAATGTTTCACGCTTTCTATACAACTACCACACTCCAACTGCAATGGATGTCACAGATCTCAATCACCAGAGCTGTTAGAGCCACTTAAGCCCCTCAGAAGAAAGCCAAGCACTTCATTACCTCTTGACAAAGATGAGTCTTCATATCTCAAGATCTCAGGAAACACACCCAGGTCTCTCAGTCACTTCTACTTAGGGGCCCAAAGCTTCTAAATTAAATGTCAGGCTCCAAATGCATTTTTCCAAGTGAATGAGAAAATGCCAGAGTGCCTCATCCCGCTGTCGGGATGTCACTGACAAACACCCATTGCAGCCTTTCTGAGCCACAGCACAGGATCAGCTGGGTAGGGAGGCTTCACCAAGCCTGACGTTACACTGGGACACGCAGTGAGCAAACCCCCAAGGAGGCAGTTCCTGCCTGACCACCCCAGGAAGAAATAGAGGAGACAAGGAAGGAACAAAAGGGAAAAGTGAGAGAACTCGTCGGCCGATGGTTACGCAGCAAGTCGTGCTTTGGCCCAATTCCCAGCCACTCAAGGTGAACAACTTTCATTCTGAACATTTTCATCCCACTTTCACAATAGCTTATTATTTCGCGGTGCTGCTGAGCAATGTTTGCCTTTCTCCTCTGTGCCCTGGGGATCTTTCCCAGATCCAGATTTCCACCCCTGCAAATACAAGGCCTTGAAACCAGGAAGACAGCAAAGTCACTTGAAAAGGGAAAAAAAACCCCACTGCATTCAATGACTAGGTAGGTCCAGTCACTGTGAACCAATTTTGCAGTCTCCTTGGCTGCTTCATGACACAAAGGTAACTGTGCCAATGTCTGAGTGACTGCAAATCTGTTTAAAGCATTCAGCCATGTACCAGCCACACGTGTTTTTAGAGCTATGATTATGTGCCTTTTAGATTGAGCTTCCTTATTTTATTTGAGGGCTTCTAACGGGTGCTTGAAGACAAGAAAAGCAAGATGCCTAAAAAATAAAGACACAACAGTTGGCAAGGAAATCTGCCCTCGGGCGGAAGACTCCCAAGATAAAATGAAAGTGAGATGCCGCCAGAAAGATCCGTCTTTCTCCGGGGGAAGAGGAAAAGCAAACCTGTCTCAGTGCTGCCCAGCCTCCCTGTTCACAGATTCCTTCTAGCAACTCCTTACTAACATGTTCTGGCTACAGCCGTTACGTTTCCTTTCCAGACCTCTGGCAAATTAATTAAAAAGGAAGTTAAAACCAGCCCGTTCAGTGCTGCCTGCCAGCAGAAAGGATCAGTTGTTAGTATGTATTCAGCTCCCACTAGAAAGTTAATTTGGAAAACAGCAACACTCACCTCTGCAAGGTAAAGGATGCAGAATTTCCGATCTTCTGAACCTATAAAGAAGAAAAAACAGGATCAAAATTAAACTACAACTGCATTTCTGCAAGTGGAGTCACTGGCAGAGGAATTGGCTAAGAGACAGCACTTCTTTATTGTTGTCACCCTACAGTACCAGGCTGTGATCTGGGAGTGATGTATGCTGCATCTGCAGGGGCCATGCGCTGGGCAGGCTGCATTGCACGGTACCTTGCATGGACTCGGCGCTATCATGGATTCTCCTTTGGGTTGGTCCTTTTGCAAAAAGGTTTGTTTCATTCAGAGGCCACGTGCAGGCTCTTCTGCCCAACCTGCCACGGCACGTGCAGCCCGATTCCTTCCCAGGGGCTGCGGAGGCCCCGCAGTGCCTACACAGCCATCCCGGGCACGAGGGTCCGGTCTCTCCCATCTTACCTCTGTGGATGCTTTGCTCCCAGGAGGACTAACCAGAGCAGCTCTTGTTCCTAAGTCCTTGCTCACTCCCAGCTTCTTGCCCCAAGCCCTTGGTAAGGCTGGTGGTAGCTCTGTCCCAGCTTCCATCAGTGCCAGTGGTTGGGGTCAAGGCCTCTCCAAGGAGATGGAGCTAAATCCCAGGACAATGGGAAGCAGCTGACATGGGGCAGGGGGGAGAGCTCATCCTGCTCCAGCGGGCTGAGGGCAAAGTCCCCAAGCTCCCACCACCGTGACGCCACTCAGAAGACCTGGCCAAGGGACTTGTACTTCCACAGCTTCATGGAAGGAATTGGTGTTGGAGGCAATGCAATGACCAACGTTGTGATTCACATCTTGCTAAATCATGGAGCAGCCCAGGACAGCTCCTCATCTTGCTGCCACCTGTCCCAGGGGATGTGTTACACTGCAGCTGCTCCACCAGGCTGGTTCCTGCAGGCCTAGCCTTCCCTGTACCCAACAAAAAGGCATTTCTGAAGATTTGCCCTGCTGGTGAGATCTGAGTGTCCCCAGCCCCAAAGGACGCCAGCTCCTGGCATACATCAGCCACAGAGGAGGACATGAAGCTGCCACAGGACAGGGCCTCCTCAACTCTGAAGCAGGACATCCCACCTCCTGGAGCTGCTCACTCCTTCACACCAGCATACCCTGCACCAGCTCTGCCCTTGGTAGCATGCAGCACCGCTGGGCTGCAGCTTTCAAAACCCTTTTAATGACATTATCTCTGCCATGAGATCAGATCCACAGTCTGGGCACGGCTGCAGATCCTTCTCAAAGCAGTGTCAGCACAAGCTCTGCTTCATTTCAACAGCCTGAGCTGCGCTGATGATGGGAACAGGCTCTGTACAGTGGTGGAAACACCCTGTTCCCCAGAGGAAAGCAATTCTTCCGCGGCAGAAATGTCAAGATAAGAGCTGTGACCCATTGAGGGACTCAGATGCCTCTTAAGTCATTCCATGGGCAACGTGAAACCCATGAAGAAGTGCAATGGCCTGGAGCCATTTGCTGGATGTCTCTTCCAGCTGCCCTTGGGGGGATTGAAGGCCTCCCTCTGCTGCCAGCTTCACTGTTAATGCATGTTGCAGGTTATGGGCTGGAACATCACTACAGGGACACCAGGACACTGTGTCACAGCGGCTGCTGGAGCCCAACACCACCAGGAGGGCTGCTGCAGACCTCTCAGATGAGGAGCCCTTGTGTTTTCTTAAGCTTCACTCTGCTCCACCTAGGTGATGCGAGGGTCAGGGAAGCAGCCAGGCCCCAGGGCTGCCAGCCAAAAGGCTCCAGCACTGACCCTCCAAATCTTCTCTTCCAGAAGGGAAGCAATGCTGGAGCCTGAAAGCACATGTTGAATGGGCCTCACTGGGAGTCTGTGTCTCATCTCTGCACCACAGAAAAACCATTCACCATTCTCCACGGCAATGCCCAAGCTCTCCCAGCACCCTCTTCCGTAAATCCCAGCAGGACCATCAGGGCGCATTTTCCTTGTGAAGCCAAAGCCTCTGATGGGAGCCCCTCAGCCAGTGCTTTTCCCCTTGAGGTAGGGTTTGTAGGCAGGATCCAAGCCTGCTACCATCACACCACAAGTCCACCATGCCCTTCTGCTGCTTCTGCTTTCCAAGTGGTCAGTAGTATGAAAAAACACCCCATCTTTTCAACCAGCCTCTCTGCTCCTCCCTGCACCATGACCAAAGCTCTCCAGGCTGCCTTGCAAAGCAGATTGCAGAAGACCAACATGTCCCAGTCACTCTCCCTCAGCAGCTTTAACTTTCCTGCCCGATGTGAGGAACAAGTCACCCTCTAGAGACATGCACCCTCAGCAAAGAAAGGTGACATCGGAGCGTGACAGCCCTGGGAATGACCCCACTTCTCTTGGGCTTCTGTTTATTATTTCTGCAATAACAAGAGATCCTGACAAAGCCCCAAACCACAAAGTTCCCTTCCACATTCCTCTCCATTGACCTATGAATCTTGGCATTAGCAACCTCCACTACCAGCAGCTCCTCTCTCCTGTCCCTCCGAGGCTCACTGCTACACGTGGCCAAGCAGCCCAGTGCCTACAGGACACACAAAGCAGGGAGCCAGCCCAGGCTAAGGAACTGCTTAAATCTCAAATTTTACCAGTAATTGCCTTTAGACAGAAAACAAATGGGAATGCCTCCCCAGCCCAGCAGCTGGGCTTGAGCCAGTGCCAGTCCCTGGCAAGGCGCAAGGGGAGGCAGGAGAGTGATGGCAGAGCCAGGAAGGGCAGACCCGAGCGCGGATTTTGGCACAAACCAGGTTTGCCAGGATTTCTTCCACTTCTCCAGTCTACAGAGGGTCAGGCTGAAGCGCCGGAGTCTGCTGTGCCCTGGAGCCGTGCTATGTGCTCTGCTCATCTCCTGCACTGCAGATCACAGAGGCCACATAGACCAGGGGAGAGGCACAGCCTCGCACCAGGGAGGAAGCAGCCAGCACCCGGGCTAGTCTGGGGCTCCATTCCCCACGCAGCACTACATCCACACCTTCTGTGACAGCTGAACAGGGCATGCTCTCAGCCAAATTCAGTGAAACGCTAAAAGAAAATAAGTAGGAGGAAAAAAGCTCCCTCGAAGATCTTTCAGTTTCTTCCTGATGTGTTGTGACGGGGACTGGCTTGTCTTGCAGAGTAACGTGAACCATCCCTGCCCCAGGGCTGGGCTGCTGCATGTGCTCAGCACAGACAAGAGGAGGGTGTGAGTTTTGTGGGGACACGTCCCCCGCTCCGGCTAAGCCTTGTCCCGCGTACCCATGCTGACGCACTTACACAGCTCCCGGCACAGCAGCAGCTTTCACCGCTGCCCTGACTCTACCCACCTCCCTGCGCAACCCAAGGAAAACATCCACTGCTTGCAGTATTTGGGTGGTGCATGCTAGGCGTTGGGTCTAAAAGATGGGGAAAGAGGGAAGGTGGACCTGCTCTTTTCCACAGCCTCTTTGCGTGGCCAAGGGGACAGTGACAATGCCCATGGCGAGGGTGAGTAGCATCATCCCAGCCCTTTGCATCTGCTCAGAGAGGACGGGACTGCATCTGGCACCCAGAGAGAGGCTCACAGGACAGGGTGCTGGGAGCCCTGGGTGCCCAGGGAGAGAGGAATGCTGTTGTACACATCCAAACCTGGCTGCCAAGAAGAGATAAGCTTGTCACCTTCTGTGGCACAAGTCCCTGGGGAGGTGTGGCCGGGTGCAAGCCCTGGGTGCTTACCAGCACCCTTGGCACAGCAGCGAGAAGCCATGGCAGGGCAGCAGCTCCATAAATCACGCTCTCGGCCTCTGACTATCTTGGATCTGTTTGCTGTAAGACATGGCGGGCTGGGATGTCAGGGACAGCAAAGCAGCACACGAAAAGTCCTCATTTGCAGGATCCCACCTGGGGATGGGGCTCACAGCCTGGGGGTCGTCATTCCAGCTGCAGAACAGGAGCGCTCTTCTCTGTCCCAAAGCCAAGCACACCCACCCAGGAGGGGCCAGGATCCCAGCAAGGCGGTGACCTTAGCATGGAAATTCCCACAGTATCTAGTGAGGAAGCCAGCCCTGTCGCACTGGAAACCTTTGTCGGTGCGGTGCTCATCAGCCATGTTCGGCTTCTAAAGCAGGAAGACAGAGCATTGTAAAGCAGATCATACTGATTTGCTTTCGCACAGTGCAGCGAGCGGCAGAAACAGGAAACATCACAATGGTCTTCAGCGTACCGGAGATGTCTCAATTGTTATACTCAGCAATACGCCTGTTCCTATTAATGTGCCATTCAGTTATTCAGGAGACCAACAGAAAATCCCTGCCAAAAGGGACAGACATCTTTTTGCTCGTTGCACCCGCCTTTGAAGCAGCCCTGCCCAAGTCAGGAGGGTGAGCTGCCTGAAAACCAACTGTGCTGGATTCCCGGCGTACGAGGGGCGGTTCGGCGCTGCAGAGACAACCATCCCCTTCGGAGAGGCTCTTTAAGCTATTCCAGATGTGATCCAGCCAAGTTATTACAGCAACAAGGAAATAAGTGGCAGAAAACTGCTCACAAAATCCAACCGCTTTGCCTGAGGTTAGGAGGTACATTCCTGTGCTGGGCTGCAAACAGACCTTTGTGCGTGGAGCTGGGACCAGCACCAAAGAAGCTGATTTCTTCAAGGAGGCGAACAAGAGCAGGGTTATTCAACAGCCTCTGAGAGCAGCCAGGGGTGGCACACGCATGTGCTCCAGGAGCAGACGCTGACCAACAAGCACTTCAATGAGGAACAATTTCTTTTGTCCGTTCCTTAGAAATAAGCAGCACCAAGAACAAACTCAACAAACCCCAGGGAAGCTTCAATGACTTTTTTAAATGGCTCACGCCGTGATGCCCTGTCTCCCTCACTGTGTTTCTGCCCCCACCAAACAGGCCAGTGAATTAATCTGGGAGCAGAAACGTTGTTGGAAATCGGAAATAACAACTGACAGGCAGCCTGTGGTGTCCAGCACAGCACTGCAGATCCCCGGCACGGAGGCTCACAACAACATGGGGCACATGGAGGGACGCAGCTCACCCACAGAGCTCACAGCTCAGCTGGGGAAAGTCATGGGAAGCGGCAAAATCCACCCAGAAAATGATCCCTTTGGAGAAGCAGCCCAGATCTGGATTAATCTCTTTTGGTCAGGGCCACAGAACTGCATAAAGACACCAGCTCACGCAGTTACAGAGTAATTTGGGTTGGAAGGGGCCCCTCTGGTGGTATCTAGTCCAAGCCCCTGGCCAAAGCACCCAGATCAGGGCGCTCAGGACCATGCCAAGCTGAGTCCTGAACAACTCTAGGGATGGAGATCCCACAGCCTCTCTGGGCAACTTCGTATTTGACCAACCTCACCACAGAAAAGTGTTTCCTTATATCTGATCGCAATTTCCTGTGTGGGGTCTCAGTCCAGTGACACCCAGTGCCTGGGCTTGAGGAGGAGGCAGGGCACCAGCCCCACGCTGACGCAGTCCAGCGACTGTACACAAAACAAGCCCATACCCAAAAAGTGACAGCACCAAAGAAGGAACAAGGTGGGACTGGGCCTGGGGCCAAGAAGTAGCTCCACCATAGCAAATAGGATGTGGTAGAGCAATTTGTTTGTTCCTCTTTTGACCCTGAGTAGCTAAAGGCCGTCTTTTATACTGCCTCATCATTTCAACTTGAAATAACTGATGTCAAGTCATCCCTCTGCCCTAGAAGCCCTCCCTGAGCCCTCAGCTGGTCATGAAAGCCCAGTCAAGGTGAAGAGAGTAAGGGCATGGTCCAAAGCCTCCCAGCAAGGCTGCAGTTTGCTCATTCCTCGCCAATGGGGTGTGCGTGGGGGAGGGATGCTAGTGTGGGCGAAAACCATGGGCAGCTGAAGGGAGAAGTAGCAAAGTAAAGGTCAGTAGGGCTCAGCCAGACTCCCTTGGAGACAACCTCTGAATTCTCTTGAGGTACCATGGGGGAAACCTCAAGCCTTCACTTCCCTTTCTCAGCCTCAGCAAGCCCCCGCTGTAGGCAGTGTAACACCAGCAAGGGGAACAGCACAGTACAGCAAGACCCTGGGGAATGCCAGCCCCAAATCCCTGAGAAACGCACCCAAAAAGCCCCAGAAAGTGGTGCTACCTGAGTGCCCTCGAGGTGTCCCAGGAGATGGAGCTCCCAGGGACTGGGTTAACATAGAGATGAGAAGGGTGATGCTGGCCCTGCACCCCAAGGAAGGATGATCTGGCAGCACCAGCTGGATGGCAAAGTTACATGTTGGAAGCAATGGGATAGTGGGGTGCTGTCCTGCTGCTGGACAGAAACGTTTATAGCTAGTAGCCTAGAAAATGCCCCAAATGTCTCCAGCTGCTGCTGCAGACACTCACCCTCCTGGAGCTTGACACTCTGCAGGTAGAGAGGGTTCCTCAGCACGTTGCAGCGCCCAGGCTCGTCCTCCTTGGTGAAGAGCAGCAGGTCAGAGTAGACAAAGAGGGTCACCTGGAAAGACAAAAGCAGCAAAGAAGAAGCTATAAGGAATTAATCCCATGGCACTGAGATAGTGTCCTGGAAAGGTCCTCTGCTCTGGGGAGATACACCAGCCATGACAGGCAGCCCAGGCACCCTTTCCCTAAGGGGCTGATGGCTGCTACACCCCCCTAGATGCTCCCAGCAAGCTTCAGACAAGGCTCCCCCCGCTTGGCAGCCACGTACCAAGGCTTGTGGAGTCCCGTGACAACAGGGATAAACCTGCCCGACAGTTCAACGCCACGCAAACACACCCTCTCTGCTCTCTCATGTCACTTCCCATTTACATAAGTTATAAATCAGAGGGGCAGGAGGAGGGAATAAGTCGCCGACTAATCGCAGCACGCTGTAGGAGTTGCAACCTAAAAGCAAACGTGATCTCCCTGAACGTGCTCACAAAGAAGCTTCTGACTGTTCTCAGTCTTTGCATGCCCCATTTTGCTCCCTCTGAGAAAACAACAGTTTGGCTTTTACAACAGCAGAACCCACAACAGCAGCTGCAGGAACAAACTCGACACCTTCTAACCACGCTGACAGGTACACAGCAAACACTGAACCGAGTGTCTGCCCAGCTCTGTGCTTGAGCAGTGACTCAAGTGTCCTAGAAGCTGGGAGCTGCTCCTGAGCAGTGGTAAGTGCTCACAACTCCAGAGGTTGATTTTGTTCTGTTTCTGGCTCCTGCCTGAAGTCCCTAGCTCAATCGGTGCAGATTAGTGTGATCTCTAAAATAAGAAGAATAAGCTTCTCCACTGCACTCGAGATTCTTGACCCAGCAGCCTACTGGGGGTGTGTGGCTTGGTGCAATCACTATGCCAGTAGCCAGAGTTTGAGCCTGTCCTGCTCTCCAGCAGCAGTCAGGGGCATGCTGCAAAACTTAGAAGACGCCAGGAAGCAGATGCAATATGCCAGTGGGCATACTGGATGCTGGACCTTCTGCATACTGCCAAACTACACGCTGCTCTCAGCACAGGGCACAGCATGGGAGCACGTGGCTGCTTTTAACCGCACCTTGGGATGCTCCCAAAAACCTCCCCCAGCGAAGGGAAAGCTGCTTCGCAACACTGAGCAACAGCAATGAAGGTTTTGTGGCCTTTAGTAACCCTTTCGCAAAAGCAGCAAACAACCCAGCACCCCAGGGGCTTGCTGGGAGCTGGCACCACTGCCACCACCAAGCCACCCTTTGAAAGGTGACTTTGCTCTGGACAGGGTCTGAGTCACTGTTTACGGGGACGCACTGCCGGTACAGTTTGTCTCCATGCCCAGTGGCTGACGGACACACATCAGGAGGACAAGCTGGGTAACAGTTGATCACGATCACATGGTGGCCAGTCTCATGTCAGGGCAGCAGCATCTGGCTTTGAAACCAAAATCAAGCCCTTGCCACAAGATTTCTCCTTGCTGTGCAAATTCATTTTTGCGGGATTCTTAATAAGCACAAAGCTACTGGTGTAGCTTTAATTGACAATGAAACCAGGGAGTGTCTGTTTTTCTCTGTATTATTTGGAAAATCCCTTCCTCTGCTCTCAACACATTGTTGGCCTAGTGCCCACATTCACCCTCTTCATTACTTCTGACCTTGTTATTAATGCAAGGGACAACAAAGTACAAACTACACAATAAACTTTCTCCCGTGCCCATCTTGTTCCAAAAGGTAACTTTTGGAGGAAATCTCTGGTGCCATCCCAGGTCCCTCAGCCTCAAAGAAGAGATGTTCAGGGATTTTGAGAACAGCAACTCAGCAAAGTGAAGCAGATTAAAGCATGATCAGCAAGTGGTCATGCTGGAAATGGAGGAAAGAAAATTAAGACCTAACACACACAGAAGTTAAAAGGGCAGAAAAAAGATTAGAAGGATCAGCAGGGAAAAAAAAATTACTTCAAAACCAAGCAGATTTAAACAGGGAATCATGGAAACAGAAATACACGAGAAGTATTTACAGGTAACATTGTGCTTTTATGGGAAGATAGGACTGATCGAATTCAGGATGCAGAGAAGACAAAAGCACAGCCAGTGTGGGTTATGTAAAAGCATCTCTATTAGATGCTGCTTCCCTGAAGACACTTGATTTTAGAGCAGCTCCACTCAAAACAGCTTACAGAGCTCCCTCTGCTCCTCCAAGCTGAAAGAAATGACAATGTCCCTTCCACCTGCACAGCCAGAGCCTGCCAAGAGCACCCCAGTGCCGCGATGCCCAGCGCTCCAGCAGACCCTGCTCCCAGCAGGACCGGCTCTGCGGAGCTGGGCACTTACCTCAGCTGCAGAGCTGAGCACGGGAAACTCACACCACGGACGACCCTAAGGCAGCAGCCAGCAGGTATAAGAGGGGAGGGCTGGAGTGAGTAACCTGGGGCTCTGCTTAGGGTTGCCACCACACGCTGACAGGCTGTAACATGTCTCTAACAGCCCTTTGCAAACAGATCTGGTATCTACCATGAAAAAATCACAGGGCTCATAAAACCAAAAGAGCAAACAAAAAAGAAACACAGTGCCTGAGTTCATCCAGGCAAGATACCGAATCCACCAGAGTTGTGCCTTGGAGAGTCAGACTACCGTTGTGTATTTCCCAGAACTAATTTCCTACCCCAAAATCAGAAATAAAACAACTGACATGATGAAAGGACTCCTCTGAAGACAGAGCTACCTGTGTTTTTACTAGAGTGACCAAGGCCATGTGGCAGTTGTCACACAGACCTTTCAGGGGGATGTCAATAGATTTTACAGGGGGGGAAAAGTGTTCATAGAGGCTGACACTGATGTCTCAGGCACTGTTCAACTGGGTGTGCTCTGCACCACAACGAACACCAAAGCCTCTTCTGCTGACAGCTCTGGCTAACTACAGAATATAACTGGCAAAGCATTGTTACAGAAGGAAGGGGCACATTTAAAGTGTTTCCTAAAAATACACAGGAGAAAATGAAAGCCAGGAGGGAAGGTGAAAAGCAGTGGGTTAGTGAGCTTCCCCAGGATGAGAACAGGAGATCAACGCTGGGACTGCTACAGAGCCCCACCGCAGGAAGGAGGAAGCGATAACCACGCCTTGTAAAGCAAAATAGCGTAACAAAAGCATTGTGAAAAGGTGCCCAGAAATTAAGCCTTGCAGCCAAAGCACCTTCACAGTCAAGCTTAAGAACAGTTAACTCTCTTCCTAACCCCCTCCTCTTCTGCTCATCTATGCACAGAGAGCTGCCACCGCCTGGGTTACGGCAGGGAGGAGTCTGCCCATCGGAAGGGCAGCAGCCCATCAGCAGAGACACTGGCAAAATGGACCAGTGCA